TTCACACTATTTTCTTTCAAATGGCACTTTAATGCCTAATTCTTTCTCAAGCATGCTCTGAATATGACATTTATCTTGATGTCCCCACCTTTGATGCTATTACTGCAACAAGGAATTCTACTTCTATAATTTTCTCAGGCGTAACTGATTCAATAGCTGCATAAAATACCATATACACCAAACAGCACAACCTAACCATTATATACATCTTTGTGCTTAACTTTTGGAAGTGAGAGTATTTTGACGGGCATAAGATGACTTGTTAAAACTCTGCACTGGATGCCACCAGACCTTTGCTACACCACTGCTTGTGGTGACCCTAATTTATACTTACTGAAAACCTACTTTCAAGTCACTTTCATTTATATAGCTGGCAGGATGTAATAATGTATGTACCAGTCTCCTTTTTTTTTTTTTTTTTTTTTTTTTTTTTTTTTTTTTTTTTTTTCCCCTTTTAAACCAAGGAGATCAGTGATGTCAAATCACACAATACTCAAAACAGGCATTAAAAATAGAATTTCAGATAGGAGCTCCATGAGCAGAATTTTAAAAGGTGGTGGTGTGGTGTATTTAATTACGGTAAAGCACACTAGGGCTATCTGCCTAAGGGGAGGGATGCCTTCGTGGAGGACTTTCTAAGGGAAACTGGCTCGAATACACATTACACATGGGGAAAACCACGAAAACGCCCATGCAGCCAGCCCGTTCGCGGGATTCGAACCTCGGACCGAACTACCAGCGTTCAGCGACTTTACCGCTCGGCCGCAGGTGGGCAGAATTTTAAAAGGAACGTATGGGGAATGCCAACTAAGAAACTCTTGTAAGTTGCTCCAATCTTTTAAATTGCCCACCCATAAATCACTGTTCCTAGTTCCCTGTTAGGGATGATGAGTTCTCCACTTAAGTTAGAATTTAAATCTCATGTTTCCTCTACAACATATGACCACAGCATCACTCAGACATGCCTAAGAGAAGGGATGCCTTTGTGGAGGATTTTCTGAAGGAAACTGGCTTGTATTCATGTTGCACATGGAAAAAGCCATGGGTACCACCCATGCAGCCAACCTATTTGCCTGGCTTCGAACCTAAAATCACGTCAAACTACCAGTATTCAATAGTGTTAACTACTTGGCCACTGGTGGCACTCACTCAATCTGCCGTTGATGTCTTTATGCGAGATACTGAAAATAGATCAGTTTCTGAAGATGATTTTGTAACACAAAAATGTTGAAACAAAGGCTGTTGTGCTTATTGCCAATTAGTTTGTATATTTATTGGAAGTTAAGCATTAATATTTAAAAAGTACCATCTGCATTTTGATTGTGTATAGGCAGCCTAAGAAATGAAATACCGGGCAAAAATGAAGTATAACAGAGTTCTTACTCTATCTACAGTTAGGAAATTCTCAATACCAGATACCTCATTTCACAAAAGATTTATACTCGTAGGAATGATTAGTAACTAGAGAGAGAAATTATTAGGAAGATGTATTTCTAAGCATTACTATGCATACCACATACCACAGGATTTAATTTTTTATCATGAATAAATTAAACGTGAATCTCATTTACTTAATGTCAGTCAACCAAATTAATACTTTTTAGCATTATGTTTACAAAGTATAGAGACTTAAACCTCTAATCCGAATAAAGCCAAGAAAATTTCTGCAAAGTTTAAGAAAGTCCCTCACAAAAACATCCCTCACTCAGATACTTTTGAATGCTTTGCAATAAACAAAATTATCCAAGAATGGATCTCTTGAGTCAAATTCAGGAAAGTTATGTTCTTCCAAATGCAATGACTTTTTTACTTCCTAGAGCTCCAAACAAAGTTGTGTGACACTGCAATTAATGCATTACACTGTAAAATTTAACTTTTCAGAAGTTTTAAATATGGCATAAATATACTATTTAAAATATTTTTAAATTAAAGCAATAAAATTTACATAGAATTTTCAGTTTTTCTCAAAAAGATATTCATTTTTTTTAAAGCCAGGCTGATCTTTTTCAGATAGTTTGACGAATATCGTGCACACTTATGCTATCAATTAATTCAAAAAGAATTTATTGAAATTTTACAATCTTAACAGTTTGTCAATAGCTATGCACAGCAATAGCAATCCAACAGCAATGTCAATAGCAATTCCACTGCTCCATAGGAACACTTTTGCTTTGCTTCTATTATTTCATTTGCTATCTCCATTTTGCCCAAACCTTGTCTCGTCTTAACCATCTTGGCTTGCCTTGACTGTGGAAGAATTGATAACGACAGCGATGAAGCTGCACCCTCCGACATTAATTTCCCTCTCATCCCCGCTAACTGGAATTGGACTTGATCCAAAAAGAAGGAGAAACATTTTCTTCTTGTATGACTCCTCGTCTTATGCAATGAAAAGTAAATTATGCTTGTAATCATTGCTAGATATTTCCCTTCTAATACCTAATAAAAATGTTATTTTGTGTGTGCTAATAATATTGATTGTATTCCTTACATCTGCAGCATAGATAACGCTTTATCAAGGTAAGAACTTTAATTCTGTTTTACTTATGTGCTCGTCCCGAATTAGCGAAGTTGCAATAGTAAACGAATAAACCACGCATATCTTCATTAGATTACGAGACCGATCGCATGTTTACTTCAACTAAATGCATAAAATATGTCAAAATAAGCTATCAAGAATAAAAAATACAAACAGAAAAGATACTCTGCCATAAATTACCGTTGGATAATCCGAAAAAGGAAAGCCAAGCCTGCCTTCAAAAGCGAAACAAAACTACATAGTTGTGTACTGCACATTCGAAAAACAGAAGCAGAAATGGCTACTAGCTGCGAAAATAAATATTCGATCATGAAACTAAACAATAACAACTATCAAGTACGGAAATACAAACTTGAAATAATCCTGAAAAAAGGAAAAATTATGGGATTTAATAGCACACAACACACCAAAGGAAATAAATGCTGAATGGACAAAACAAGATAAACAAGCACACGCTACCATTAGTTTACTCGTAGATGACAACCAAATTGTACACATAAGAAATAAAATGACAGCTAAAGAGATATGGAACGAATTAAAGAAATTTCACGAAAGAAAGAATCTTTCTAGTAAACTTTACCTTCTCAGAAATCTGTATATGTTAAAAGCAGAAAACAAATACAAACTCAAAGAACACGTGAACAAAATGCTCGAAATCGTAGACGAACTGTGAGGAATCGGTGAAGAAATAAGGGACAGTCACATTGCAGCACTCTTACTAAACGGCTTACCAAAAAGCTACGAAAATCTTAACCAGCTCTAGACTTGATACATTCAGATATTTGTAGATTAATCGGTACAACATCACTAGGAGGAAAGAAATACTTCATAACATTGATCGATGATCATTTGAGATACACAACGGTCTATCTGCTAGCTACAAAAGATGAAGCTATCTCCAAATTAAAACAATTTGTAACCATGACGAAGAACAAATCTGGAAAGAAGCCAAAAGTCTTAAGAACTGACAATGGAGGAATAAAAGCAAAGAGATTGAAGAATATCTAAAGGAAGAGGGAATCGAACATCAAACCGCTGTAGCATATTCACCGCAGCAGAACAGTAGAGCATAAAGAAAAAAATCGATACTTAATGGAAATGACAAGATGCCTGCTACTCGATTCAGAACTCAAAAGAGAATTTTGGGGTGAAGCCGTAATGACAGCCACCTATCTACAAAACAGGCTACCATCAAGATCAGTGGGAAAAACACCATACGAGCTCTGGAATAATAAGAAGCTAAACTTAAACCATATCAGAGTTTTGGGCAGCACCGCTTATTGTCTAGTTCCAAAGCAGAAAAGAAGCAAACTAGACAAAAGAGCAGAAAAAAGAATTCTTGTTGGATATAGTGACCGTACTAAAGGATATAGAATTTAAATGCCACATGCAAACAACGTCATGATCAGAAGAAGCGTAATATTCGATGAAAACAAAAAAGAAGAAATGCCTCATCAATTAAATGATCAGCATGAGGAAATAGAATAGCCTTTTAAAGAAAATAAATCGACAGAACTATGTCCAAATGCTACAACAGAGGAAGGAATTGAAAACAGAAGAAAATTCCCCTATTACTGAGAAGATCCCAGAGAACGACTAAAGGGAATCCCACCAAACAGATTCTCATACCTGGCTAAGAATGAAGAAATTCAAAGTTCCTAAAGACTGGGAAGAACTTACAAACTTTTTCCAAACAAAGAAAAAGGAACTGTGGTTAAAGTCCACAAAAGAAGAAATGGAAGCACTGAAGAGAAACAAAACATGGGAACTAGTCGATCTTCCAAAAGGAAAGAAAGCAATTGGAAACAAATGGACATTTAAAACAAAATCCGACGCTTCAGGAAATGTTATCAAATATAAAGCTCGTTTAGTAGCTAAATGATATTGCCAAAAATTTGGGCACGACTACGACGAAACATTCGCACTAGTCATAAAGTATACCACAATAAGGAATATCTTGGCAATAGCAGCTCAAAAGAAGATGCACATAAATCACTTTGATGTAAAAACAGCTTTTCTATATGGAGATCTGAAAGAAGATATATATATATATATATATATATGAAGCAACCAGAGGGTTACATCTCTACTTCAGAAGCAAACATCGATGATGTATGTAATTAAATTCTGTAAATTAAAGTATCTACGGACTAAAAAAGGCTTCTAGAAACTGGAATCACAAGATAGCTGAAATCCTGCACAAACAAGGATACGTTCAAGGAAAAGCCAATTCATGTTCCTTCACACTAATCGAGAAAAATGCAAGAACTTACATAATCGTATATGTTGACGACATTAGTCATAAGTGACAAGCATGAATCAATTCAAGAAGTTGAACGAATTCTCAAAGAATATTTCGACATTCAAAATCTTGGAGAAGTATCTACATATCTAGGAATTGAAATCGAAAAAGAAAAAGATGAAAGCTTTAAACTTCATCAAGCTAACAAGATTAGGGAGTATGATTGAAAAATTCGACGAAGAGTCACCAAAGAAACTAAGCTATACACCCATGACTACGAATTTCACGAAGAACCAAAACAACCAAGATGATATTTTTCCCAATAATCAGAAATATAGGGAAGCTGTGGGAGCACTTTTATATTTAGCAACAGTATCAAGACCTGACAAAGCAAATTCTGTTGGAATACTTAGCAGAAAAGTAGAAAAACCATCAACATCGGACTGGAATGGTATAATCAAAATCATACGATATCTGAGAGCTACAATTCATTACAAATTACATCTAAAATCCAATGGTGCACCAGTCATCAAAGCTTACAGTGACGCTGATTGGGCTGGAGATACCTCTGATAGAAAATCCACATCCGGATATATGTTTCAAATAGGAAACAGTACGGTATCATGGACAAGCAAGAAACAAAATTGTGTTGCCTTATCTTTGACAGAAGACAAATATATCGCTCTAGCTTTAACATTGCAGGAGCTACAATGGATTACACAACTGATGGAAAATTTAGGTTTCGCTCAACAGGAAGCTAACATCATATTCGAGGACAATATATCATGCATAAATCTTTCCAGAAAAGAAAAAGGAAGCAGTTACAACAAACACATCGATTTGAAATATCACTACGTATATGATCTACAAAAATCGAGGAATTGTTAAACTACAAAACTGCAACAGCAAACTGATGTATGCAGATATGTTCACAAAACCTTTACCCAAACAACAGCTGGAATTTTTGTTAAAAAAGAAATTGGTTTTACTCCGGACGGAACAGCTCACAGAGTGGGAGATTGGAACAATTGATAACGACTGCGATGAAGCTGCACCCTCAGACTTTAATTTCCCCCTCACCCCCGCTAACTGGAATTGGACTTGATCCAAAAAGAAGGAGAAACATTTTCTTCTTGTATGACTCACTTCTCGTCTTATGCAATGAACAGTAAACTACACTTGTAATCATTGCTAGATATTTTTTCCTTCTAATACCTAATAAATATGTTATTTTGTATGTGCTAATAATATTGATCGTATTCTTTACATCTGCAGCATGGTTTACGCTTTATCAAGGTAAGAACTTTAATTCTGTTTTACTTATCTGCTTGTCCCGAATTAGCGAAGTTGCATATCCACAAATGAAATGTAAACAAATGAACCACGCATACCTTCAACATTGACTACAAACAATGCGTTTCTTAAAGGCATAAAAATTGCATAAAACTTTAAACAAGCGATAATCTTAATATTATGAAGATTTTGACATAAAAAATGTTCAGTTATGATTACAGAACACTAGAGTGTATCTGTAATTCAGTTAGGCAAATCATTGCAGCAAAGACTGCAATGTCTAACAACTCAAGACCATCAAGTCTCCATAAACTAGATGGTCACCGATGCCCTTTAGTTTTATTTTAAAAAGTCTATCTAAATTTATTACTATGTAAAACACCAGTTACCTACCTATACTCAATATCCATAAATTACTGGGTTTGCTTTGATAAGCATCAGAGTCCTTCAATTTAATTTTTTTAATCCATCTAAATGAACTGCATTATCGATGATTTGACTGCCAACTCGTGACCATCAACATTTAGGTCACCAGTTACAAACAGCCCTGATAATTTTTAATCTAAAAATCCATCTAAATTTACAGCCCTTTACACTGGTGACATATCAGCCAGTGAACATCAATCTGTAGATCACCACTGACCAAGTCATGTTATGCAGAGTCCATTGATTCTTTACCCACATAAGCAAGCCACCTCTTCTACAATCTACATTTGCCAAGATGTTTTGCCCACAATCCGACTCGCAAATTCTTTTGTAGAGAATTTCAAAACTGAATTATATTCTCTTTAATTGCATGATTTTTAACTAAATGATTCTTTACCTGATTAAACACATTCTATACATGCTTTAAATAATAATATTATTTTAGCTTACTTTACTTAATTATGCTAAGAAACCGCCATGGGCACAAGTGTACTTCAATTTAATTTAAAAATCAATCTAAATTTACTGTACTCTCAATACAAATGATATGTGGGTTAACCATAAAAGACCATCCACCTGTAGGTCACAGGTAACATAACAGCCTTGGGTAAAAATTTACAGCTGGGTGCTCCTTGTTTTGTTTTTGTTTTTTTATGCCAAGATCGGCACGAGGAAGGCAAAATTTGAAGATGGCCACTATACAAAAACCAAAATAAGAAGTCAAAGAATTACACAAACTCGGTGTCCATGTACACATCTATCTACTTCACTTTAAAAAAATCATCAGAGAATTGCACAAACTCACACTACTTTGACTTTGTTCATGTACACATTGATCTATTTTCACTCATAAAAAATCACGAAGCTAAAACCAAGTTAAAACTATCATGGTAACCAAAAATGGGGTTTCATCACCAAAACTGAACATAATTTGTCGCCAATCGAAGGGGCATTTAATTCTACACTAGAGCACAGCCTTGATATGTTTTATTTGGAACTTTGGTTTACTTTTAAAAGCTTTTCAAATTTATCGGTAAGTTATCAGTGGACTAGGGAGTGACTGTAACTGTAGGTCAACTCACAAATCATCAAAAAAAAAGTAATGGCCATCAAGCTAATAGTCACTGTCAGTCAACCAATAGGTTGCTTATGTGGGATGGTGTAATAGACAAAGATAAATTTTTTAATTATACAAAAGAATACTAATGTTCAAAGGCATTCATCGCCACTGACTTAGAGGCAATATGCAGGCAACCTATATGTCAGTCATATGGAGCAGTGTACTGAATTTAGATAAACATTAAAAATCAAATACAGAAGCATCTCCGGCCATCAAGGCCACAGTCATCAATAACCTTTCAGGCCACTGAACACCATCAATTTAAAGTAGACAGCAGTGCAGAACAGTTAACTTTCAGATTTTATATTATACCCAACGAGGCATTTTTTTAACATTTTGTGTGTTACCTTTATTTATTAAATATCATGTTCTTCGCACTTAATACGCAGTCTTGCGTGCTAGAGATAAAAATGATCCCCCACCATACCATGTTGACATTCCTCACTTTGAAATGGTCGAGTTTGTTAATCAAAAATTCTTTGATGTCTGACAAAATATGAAATAGATAATAAAACAAATTCCAAATTCGGGCTTCCAGATGCCCATATTCATCAGTGTAGGATTATGTAGGATTATGTGTAGGATTATGTTATTCAAAATTTGATGGCCCTAGGTACCATTGTTTTATCACAATGCATGAAACATACTTACATTTGTGCAGATTCTTCATTATTTAATTTCTTTAAATATAATACAGGGCTGTAATATTTGGTGGCAACAGTTTGAAAAGTGAATCGATGGAAAATGCCAAAACGAAATTAGTAGCCCTTCTAGGCTAACACCCTTTAGGCAAAAAATATTTATTAAGTTTTAAAAGTACTGTACAAGCACTATGAACAGTAAACTAAGAAGAAAGATCAGCCAACTAGCTCATTTTTTACAGCTACATTTGCTCTGTGTAAAGTTAAGAATTTGCAGACACTACAAAGCAAATTCGAAGGTCCTCAAAATATTCTACTTTTATTTGAATAGAATGGCAGGATTCAGAGAAAAGCTACTTCTGTTTACAACAAAGGATCACAATTGTTATTGGACCACAATTGCAGCTTCTTCAGCAAAAAAATTTCAACTGTTAGATATGCACTACTTGATCCTTAATCAGCAGCAGTGAAACTCATAATTTTTGGGGTAGTCCTGAAATAGAAAATTGTGGAAATTTAAAATTGAGTGATTTGGTATGGGAATAAGAATTAACAGCTAGTGAGGAAATAATTTTTGTTCAGTTATTGTTGGAATAATTAATTATCCTTTTTAGCTGTTAACTCATATCCACAACTTTCACCATGTTACAAAATTATAACAGTTTGATCAAATGACTTGCTGGGTTATTTTGGCAAAAATTTTGCAGGATGCTGCCTGCACATCATATGCAGAAGATAACCTAACTTAAAATATGAGAGATACATAACAATACAGTTTAGATTACAGTCAAAACACAGTAAAGCAATGATCAAAAACCTCTTAAAAAATATAATAATTTCTTAAAATACAAATGCCACCGTGACCTTGCTTATAATAATACTTATTAATATGCAGTACCAAGAAGGTACTAGAGTGTGTATTATATACCTATTGAATCTTAAGTTGAAGGCACTATCAGCCACTTATTAAGATTCCCCTCAAATTTATATATATTAAATTACACAACAAACTATAACAAAACTTATGTACATACTCATTACCTACAATGCCTCCAAAAAAAATTAAACAAACAAAAAAAATATATATGAAACTTACTTAATCATTATTGGAAGCCTTATATGCAAGAGAATTAAATTTTTAATTCTTTCAAGAAAGTTGGAGAACTATTTCTTCTCTCTTTCCTCCACCATGCATTCCTCTAGATAAAATGCAAACCAGTCACTTACATAGTTTCAGTCCAATAACGTGCATAATAAGTAACACCTCAATTATACTTAAATGAACTTTCGCTTAACATTTTTACTCCATACATCACACCATTCAAATAATTCTTCTCTCTCATGCACTATGGATATTTACTTATATACAATCTTACAATCTGTTACATAGTCACTAATATCTAACAGAAAATTTCAGATGCATTCTAGATAGCATATTAACTGCAATAAAAAGATTGCATATACAATAAACTGAACCTAACTGTAGTTTCTTAATTCAGGAATTGACAACGAATCAATTCACAATAGAGAACAATGATCTATAATCCTTCCAAGTAGCAAATTATAATTTTACATCCTCAATAAAATTACAAGAGATCCTTGTGCTGAAAATAAGAAGCATCCAAATGGATACTGGATATTAAACCAAAGCATTTAAATGCACTATCAAACATAGTGGAAGAGACAGTCTTTAGAAAGGATTTTCTAACAAAAATTATCTTACATTTGCACTACACATAAAGCCTTTCATCGCTTCAATCCACTCAGCCAATGTGGGATTCGAATATATTACACATGAACAACTACACCATACATTCAAATCCCATGCAAGCATATTTTCATGTGCTCATATTACAATTTCCAAGCAGTAAACATTTTCCCATACCAAACTTGCTACCAGTATCCACCGCTAAAGACTAATTGGTTTGTTAGATAATAAATGCCTTTTCAAAGGAAACTGGTTTGCATTTACAAGGAAAAAACACATCATCAGCCTATTTTGCAGCCAAGAATTGAACAAGAGACAAAACTAACAGTGTTTCCTGACTATGGCCATGGGTGTTTGCTCTCCAAGCCAAAAATAAAGATTAAATACATATTCATAGGCTGTATTTGTAAAAAACATATTCCAATTCTCAAGAAAATGGATGCTAACACAGAGCATTTCATTAAATATTAGCCAGTCATTAAGATTTAAATTGTTTCAGAACAAAGGAGTAAGGCATTAAATGGATTTTACATCATCATAATTATGCATGTAAAAGGCTTTATGTGGTCTACAGTAACCCTATACTTTCACTGTTTTTTACCCTGCACCAGAATATGTAATGAGAGAAGATTTAAGTAGAGTAGAACGAAGCTGTTGCTCTCTCCATGTACACACTGATCTGCTTCCACTTTAAAACATCATAGAATGCCACAAATTTCGTGTTTGCAAGTGACTTCAGCATTGCTAATATTAAACATTATACATACAGTACTTGCCACTTATTAAAATAATTCTGTTCGAAATATATTTGAGTTCATTAAGCAGCTGTGTTTAATATATGACATTTTGTGCATTGCCAGCTGTGCTACCAGTTTTAAACATACTGTAATGCCCATAGCCCAAAAAGGAAAAGGAAAAGCCTGACCAGCAGAATAATTAGTCCGAGGAAACGATCATTGGAGAGTGCCGGGTGGTTTTTTGGATGGAAGTAATAAAAAACAAGAAGGAAAAAAGTAAAGAGAAAGGACAAAAAGGGACACCGAGAGCAATGGGACTTTTGACCCTGGATATCGGAAGAGATGGTCAGATTTTTTTTGGCTGGAGGACCAATGCCATTTTTTTTGTTATGCAGAGATTGTTTTCTCAGCTGGCGAGCATAATGCCAGACTTAACCTATCCATGATTGTACCTATAATATATAATAATCAAGAATTGTTTTTATTAAAGTTTATTGTTAAACAAACATTAAAAAAGTGACATCTATGCATCGATCGACAGAGACGTGAAAGAAATGAACCCCATGCTACAGATAATACAATAAACCTCGTTTCCATCTATATGACTACGCAATCTACGATACATACCTAGTAAAATAATAACTACTAACTTATCCAATAATTAATCCTAAAATAAAAGCTGAAATTTAATGCCAAAATTAAGCTGTTTATGCAATTTTAAATTTATTTTTAAATTTTTTATACAAATATTTTTATAATTACATTTTTGATGATATTTTATCTTCAACAACTGTTCTCTGTGTGTTTGTTTCCTACTGCTCATCAATAGATTTGAATTTTATTCTCAATTTTGGGAAATTGCTGGTTATATTTTTTGTCAACACTTTTCAGTTAAAAAGTTTTCCTTAAAATTTGCAGTGCATTTCTAAATTTTATTCATGTTGGCATAACATCACATTTTGTATATCACTTTCGCTGTCAGTTTCTACAGTTCTTTTAACATTTTCAATAACACCATAGTCAGCTTTTATGCACTTTGTCTAGATATTATTGTCAATTGACACATATGCTAAAAATGAATTTTTGTCACTCCCCTTACTAATGTTTGAAACATTAGCTACAATTCCTCTGAGGCTTCATTTACATAAAAACCATATTTTTGATAACAGTTTTTAACTGTGTTTTACAAGACTAACCCCTGTATTGAATGTAAACACGCATGGCCAGACACTGCTTTGCTTATTTCATATGAAATTTTACAAAATTCAGTTCTATTTATCATTTTTCAAAGCATCTTTTATATAATGACATTTGAACACAAAATCCTGCTCTAAAACCTATATGGGAATTGTATTTGCAGGAAGAGGAACTAATGTTTTTCTTCAGATGTGTGCTGTAAAGTTATCTAATTACAAAAGCAATTCCCCCCCCTCCAGTTTGTCCCTTTTTCAAAAGAAAGTTGGTGAAAGTACAACTTGTCATACATGAGTTTTATAAGATGTTAATTCTAGACGCCTTTTAAACACTAAGGTTTCCTGCTTTTTTCAATAACCAGTGCAGTTTTCTTAATTGCTGGATCCATATTACATGTTAATAGCAGACAGTATTCTGTTCTTCCAGTTTTTCGAGCCAGGCACTGCTTCATTTTCATATATGAGGGCAATTCGGAAATTAATCTCATCTACTGTAAATAAAAAACCATATAAATGCAGCAAAATTTTTACTTCTGAAATGACCCACTGTCCTGTTTTTTGACATACTTATCATGTACATTCAAGTACTTGTCATAGCATTTTACTAACCTGCCAATCTATTCTCCATAAAACTCAGCTACCTGCAACTTTAACCAACTTGGGTTTGAAGTTCCTCATCATCAGTGAAGGTCTGGGTCCCAAGCCACTTCTTCAATTCAGGGAACAGATCGTAAACAGAAAGACTGTAGGTAGGATGCTGAAACATGCCCCATTTGAAGTGGCACAAATAATCTTGTGTTTACTGAGCATTGTGAGTGTGAGCATTGCCATGCACGAACACAATCCCAGACCTCAGCAGGCTCCGAAATTTGTTCTGGTTGGTAATTTCGAATTTTTTTCATTAGTTCATTGCAACTTTTGAAAAATGCGGCTACAAAACTGTTGATTATATTACGTATTTTAGTTGAAATAATGCAATTCAGTGTTTATATTTGTAACAAGGTAAGTAATTCTGACAACATAAAGAATTATTTTGTATTTGCTTTTCTTTATACAGTCAAATACTGAAAAATCCGCCGACCTAAAATCGGCCAACTCCTGAATCCACGTTGCCTCTCAAAATATAAACCTTCAGTTTATAGGTTCCCGAAACCACAATATCGTGTACGAAATATCGGAGAAAAAAATACTTACCTAATAATGATGTCATAATTACCGAATAATAATGAGTCACAACGGAAATACCAAATTATTCACATCATGATAAAGTTTTTTCCCCCTCTAATCTGCATTGAGGTAAGAAAGCAGACAATTCACTCAACTCTTCTTTCAAGTTCACGATTCACATTGTTGTATTTTCTGAGCTTTGTTATTTCACGAGATTATTTAGTGCTGCCTTTTTTTTTTATCCGGATATTTTGTGGATAAATTAAGAATATTTTTAATTTCAGCCCTTTTTAATACAATTAGATTAGAAATGCACTTGTGATTTCACTGCTTGCAACGTTGAAAAACGTAAACCACGTTGCATTGACAGTAATGCAAAAAGTGCAAATTCTGCAAAAGATGGAGACAGGTGCTACTCCTCGGTTTATAGCAGAATCGTACGGAATTGCGATACGATTGTGATGATATACAGAAAAATAAAGAAAAGATGTTGAAATTTTAACACCGGATTCTAACATCGGAATCCGAAACCGGAAATCTTTACATGAGGCGAAATCGGCAAACCTCGATGCTGTGTATATATAATACAATGAATAATATAATAAATTTATATATGTAATAATAATTCAATGCATATAATAAATTATTGCAATAATGTATATAATAATTTAATTAAATATATCTAATATGCCTTATTTTTGCACTTTTAGTCTGAATATTATGATTTATCTTTTCTGTCCTAAAATCCGCACAACCTCTGGTATCAAGCTTTGCGGATTTCTGGAATTCTGTATTAAAATTTATATTGCACGTTACGCTCGTAAATTGAAAATATGGATAATTTAGATGACTATTAATTTTTCCTTGATCATGTCATTGAGAGATTTTATTGATTTCAAATGTTTATAAGACTGCATTTAAGAATTGTTAATGTAAGTATATGTAGGTTAATATAGTTTTTTTTTTTTTTTTTCCCCCTCTCTTGTGTACATTTAAACGTTTGTAGTACGAGAAGTTTTAGCGGGAAATTGTGCTATCGTTTTATATTTATTCATTAGTGATTTTAATTCCTAATATGAAGAAAAGGGCAGTATTCTAATTGAGAAAAATTTCGAGCATCACATTTAAAGGAAAATACCCATTTTGATCGTTCCTGAATCCACATGACAGATTTTTTTTTGCGTGCTGTCTGTATTTACAGACAAAATAAAGGTCTCTTTTTCCAAAACGGGTACAGATATTTTTTTTTTTTTTTTTTTTTTTTTTTTATTGATGTATGTATGCACACATGTATTTGAAATTTTGTAACATCTAGTTGTGCACCCCTCTTTTTTCTTGCAATTGGCAGTACAATTTTTCGTCTTTGTGAAAAATTAGTTCTAAATTTCTGATTT